CAGCTCAATCTGCAATCTTCCACCAATGCAAAGAACAGGTTCTGGAAGCTTAAAGCTCTGCAAACAATTTTCCTGTCAATGGTACAGTAATTAGTATTATCACTGCTTTTGAGAGACTTATCTTTTTGCAAATCAAAAACTAGGGAAAAGAATAATTTCAGCAAAAATGAAACTTAAACTAACAGTGCCAAACCACAAAAGCCACCATTTGCTACCTACTGAGAAATAATAATCCATTGCAATGAGTACTAGCAGATAATACTATTTTATCATATTACTGTTCATCTTTAATAGCAAAACAAGAAGATGATGTCAACTAGGAGCCATGAGGAAAATCAATTCAGCTACTTGAACCCACCTGAACCATTGGAAACTCTTGTGAAGTGTAAGTCCACACAAACTTGTCACCAAGAGAATCTGGGCATGACTCATTCATAAGATTATCATTGTAGTGGGGGTTGAGATGACCCATTCGGAATCGAACAGATTTTGCAGAATATATAGGGAAGTCCCACTGCATCAGGAAATCAGCTAGACCTAAAATGGATTAGGGTAAATTTACAAGGTAGATGTTAAAAGGAGCGAAAAAGTATCAAAACAATCAAGAGTTTGGAACACATACCTTTGAAAGTTTTTTTCCTGATTTCAGTAACAACACAAAAATCAGCCACCAATTTGTGAGTTAGAATTATAGGCCATACAGGATTACTGTAAGAAGCTCTCCCCCCCACTATATCCATGCTTTTTTCAGGAAATGACATCAAACGTTGACCCAAAACGGCATAAGCTCTGTGCTCCTTCTTCAAAGTTTCCCATTCAATGTTACTAGTGCCAACTGCCACAAGGCTTTTTGTTATGGAGGCTGACTCAACCACATGATCAACTCTAGATAATTGAGGAAACATCCTCAAGCACAGATGCTTGGCAAAACCATTAGCTATCACTGGAAATTTCACGAAAGAGCAAACGAAAAATCAATACCTACTATTTTGCTATAAACTGTTACCTTCTTTGATCAGAGAAAATAGCACAACTAAGTACAAACTACAATGGTACCCCAGCGGCCAACCACAATGCTCAGAATTTTATAGACTCATCAATCATACTTCTAGACAACCTATCCCAAAGTAAACCTTTTCACAATATTTTGAATAGGCTACAATTCAGTCCCTTTATCATGTGTACATATGCAGTTGTTAAAAACTCACCAAAATTTCGCCAAGAGTGAGAAACACAGCTCACACGCGCAATATCAGACGGATCATCCAAACATGTGAAAATCTTCTCTGACATGTCATAACAGAGGTAACTGAGAAAATCCAGTTGAGTTCCCATTTAACCAAACTGCTGATCAACTCAGCAGTTCTTCTCAACTTCAATTCCTGATTTAACACTGCAAAACACTGTATCAAAAAAAGGAAAAAAATGAACAACTAATAAAATTATTTTAATCTTTTTCCTGAACTATAATCACAAGAAGCAATTCAGATGAAATGATGATACATGCAAAAAATACAAAAGAATTTAATTTTTCATTGATTTCCACCAACAATTAAATGAGGGGAAAAAAAAGAGTGGCTTAAAAGAAGACAGTATCAAACAGAGCGCAAGCACGAATCTTTCTACCGAAAAATGAAAGCTGAGAGCTTTATATTGCAAAATTCAAACATAAATGCAGCAATCAAATTCAATCAATTTTGCAGAGATGAACGCAACCGATTGTGTAATGGGGATGGAAAAAAAAAGGGGGAAATTGGAAAAGCAAAGACGAAGAGAATAGAGAATTCTAGAGAAATGAAATAGGGAGGATGATGAGAATGGAAGTTAGGAAAACTTCACCTTCGCTGAAGAAGAAAGGGGAATCGAGAAGCCAAACCGTAGAGGGAGAAGTTGAAAGAATCGGCGAGTAAAGTCAATGGAGATGGGAGGTAGATAGTGCTAGTAAGTACCTCAAGGTCGTGTTATTTTGCAATTTACCTAATGGGGTGTTTGTTTGGTTCAGAGAGGTTGTCTCATATAATCATATTCAATCATTTTTATTTTACAATTAAGTTATATAATTTGGACAATAAAATAAAAAATTCTAATTTAAAATTACTAGAAAATATATTCAAAAGTGCTTTATTTGATGAAGTTATTAATTTTCTTTATATATTTAAATTGTATTTGAGATTCATGTATTTTAATTTAATTTACATATTAAAACTGTAATTTTCACTCTAAAATTATTAAATTACTTTTAATAAATGAACATAAAAAATTTTATTAAAATATTATAATATTTTCAGTAATAAAATTATATTTTAAAAATACAATCTGACTTAAAAACAATTTTTTTATTGTATTTTGTCTAAGTAACCTGAACCGAACCGAACTGAACCAAACCAAACGCCACTCCCCACTTAAAGGCAAAATACCCAAATTTATCCCTAAAATATAGTGATAAGGACATATTCATCCTCACACAAAAAGGGAGACAAATTGACTTATAAAATTTTTGACTTAAATAAATTACTTTAAATTTAACATATGACATTATTTAATATTAACAATTCGTTAATCCGTTACTAAATTATTGATATAAGATGATATTAAATTAATAAATTATTAATATTAAATAATATCACATATTAAATTTGAAGTGAATTATCCAAATAAAAAATTTTATAAAAAAATTTATCTTCATATTTTATTTAAAAATGGATCCACCGATGATAGATTTGAATATTCGGCCTACAATAAATTAACAGTCGCAATGATACCAACGTTTTGATAGTTCCCCATTTTTTTTTTTTTTTTTTTTTTTTAACTCAAAATCTATTGGAGCCGCATCTTTTCCAATTTTTAATTGGTAGAAATTCATGAGGAAGACAGTTTTGCTTTTTATTA